ATGTATGTATATATGTATAAGTATATATATATATAAGTATATATATATATATATCCCTCTTAACCCTGAAAGATAAAGGCCTGATCACTACACTCTGAATTTGCTCCCAGAGCCTCAACCCTTATATAAATTTAAATCCTTCAACACCCAGAAGCCTGAATCCGAAAACTGTTCTTGCGGAACCACGGCGAGTTTGCAAGGTTTCGAGGGCAGTTAAGGCCTTCTCAACATCAGAAGTCCTCGAAGCTATGACCCTGTACCCTTCGGAAGGGGTTAAGGTATAGAGTTCTGTCAGAGATCCGGGCTAGATCTCGGACTAGCCAGGGTGTAGAGATTCGGGTTTAGGGTTTCATTGATAAACCCCCACTCCAGGACGTTCGATCAGAAATTGAAGGCCGAGCCACTTTCCGGACCCTGTGTGCCCATAGGCGAAAACGCAGACATTGTACCCGGTCCTCATGGAGCAGGCAAGTGGTTAGGGAACGTGTCTTGCATCTGTCCCAAGTCAAGGTCGTGTCAAAGTGTCCTCAGCCTACCCTGGACCCTGCGCAGACAGCGCGCAGAAGCTCAGGCACTGGCAGCGAGGCCGTCACCAAACTGCGGCCGAAGTTGGAGAAGAACTGTGCCTGCAGGGGCGGCGGGTCGCTAATGCGTGGGGCTCTCGCCTCCCGCGATGTGATGGTTGCTGTTAGCACTCGCGAGGTCAAGCGAGGCTTCGGGGCCGGCTCGACAGGGCTTACACAGTTTAGGTTAAAGGATCTATATGGGTTTAGGGTTTAAGGTTCATTTTAGGAATTAGGGTTTAGGGTTATTACAAGAGCACATAGGCCATTTCCGATGTGACCTCCTTGCCGACACAGACAAGGGCAACTACCGAGACAGCAAGGCAGTCGAGTTCAGCTAATGCATTGCATCAACTGCAAGCGATGTCTCGGATTTGTGCTGGCATGCGTGGACAAGAGTCAGGGTTCAGAGGTTAGATGGCTTGGGGCTTGGGAGTTGAGCTGGAAAGAAGAAGACGAAGATTCCCGCGTCCACCATTAAACCAAACATGCACATGCACATCTGCAATCTGTGCATTTGCCCATTTATCGACCTTTGCATGCGTGTCTGTACACATCGAAAGCATGCACGTAACGTGCGTATGCACGGCGGAAATTCAGGCAGACGAACATAGGCAAACAACCACGCCTGCATGGAGTTACGTTTAACATGATATAAACACGTACATGCATATGCAGTGCATTCCTCTGCATGCACACACGAACTTCGGGCCGTTACTTGTTCCTAGCTAGCTTGGCTCGGGCCATATCACTTCATGCTAGTCTTATGCAAGACTCTGCCAGTTAGCAGATTTGTGTGCAGAACTCCTTGTCGATACCTTACAAGAACCCAAATCATCCCAAATCACATGTGTGTACATAGCATGGGTATGCTCTAAAGCGTTGCGGTGCGTGCGTGCTCTAAGAACAGATAGATGCCTGTCTGTGTGCATGAACGTGTGTGCGCACCTGCCTGCCGGCATCACGGTGTAGGGTTCGCAGTTCATGGGTTTAGGGGTTTAGGCGGTTATGGGCTTTACGCCTTAAGATTAACCTTTCAAAACACAATTCAAGCCTCCGAATATAGAACTGACATTAGTCGGCTCAACCAAACCACAAAACACGAACCTCTTGCCATGGCAAGACTAACAATGACTATTCAGAGCCCTAAACCCAACCTTCAACACGAAACCCACTACCGTGCATCCTGACGACTCCCTAAAACCCAATCATAGACCTGAAGTTGTAAATCCTTCGGACTATGCCCGAAACACTGCAAGCCAATAGTAGCACACTCCGCCTATAAGCCCTCGAACCCTCAACCCTATGTCCCCTATCCTTTTTGCATCCAGCCTGCAAGAGCCGGGGCATATCCTAAAGCCCGAAACCGTAAGCCCTAACCTTGATTCCTAAAACATCCTAAACCCCGAAACCCGAAACCCTTTTCTGAACCCAGGCTCTGCCAAAACCTGAACTCCAAACCCCTTTTTTGCAAACCCTAAACCCTAAACCCTATAACAAAAACCCCTGAAATCCCTGAGAAGATGCTCAGAAATCCGACTTTGGCTCGACTCAAAGCCTGGGACTCGGCGGCTTCGGCCCTGCGTTGCCTGGAAGGCCGTGGGGAATATAAGGGGTTTAGGGTTTTTTTTTCCCAGGTTTAGGGTTTAGGGTTT